GGTGGCTCTTGAAGAAGTCGAGGCCGACCGACCGCGCGGGAGTGACGGGGGGAGGCTCGCCGGGGGAACAGCGAGCCGAAGAGGGGGTAGCGGGGGGGAGGGAGGCAGCTCCCCGCCATGAACGCGCTGCGGTCCAAGGAGCGGTACATGTCGAGCAGGGTCGCGGGGTGCAGAGGGCGCGGGTACACGAGAGGCAGCTTCGCGGGAGCCTCACTCTGCACCTGCGGCGGCGTCGTCGGCGGCGTAGAGGTGGTCGACGGCGAGTCTTTCAACAGGTCGCTTATTCTCAGGAAGGGATGGTCCTGGCGGGGCTTCGGCCTCACCGCCTCCGCCTGGCTCTCGGGCTTCTCCGACCGGAATCTGTCGTCGCTCGTGGCCCCGGGGGCCTCGCCGTCGGAGTGGCTGGAGGTCACGGCGCCGTCATCGCCCTCCAGCCTCCGCTTGGTCGTGAGGTCGAGCGGAAGCTCTCTCCTGTCGTCCTCGGCGTCCGCCCGTCTGCCCAGCCTCAGCTCGGCGACGTCCGCGGCGGTCGGCATGTCCGCCGCCGCGTCGATGACGGCTGTGACTTTGAGGGAGGCGCAGGTGGCGGGGAGCCGCGGCGAGGAGGCGGGGGAGCTCCTGGCCGAGTCCCCCGTGGCCTGCGCCCGCGGGGAGGGCGGAAGGGCCGCCTTCTCCTCCCCCTCCTTCGGCGAGTGGGGCGAGAGGGCCGGGCCGCGGCCGTGGTGGATGGGGAGGAAAAAGGAGGAATGCAGGAGAGGGTAGGTGGGCGGAGGATCCCGCGGGGGCTGTGAGGCGAGCATCTGGTAGGTGAGGAGAGCGGGCGGCACCACGGACACGGGCGCCCGCGGGTACAGGCTGAAGCCTCCTGAAGGTGCTGACTGCATCGTCGCCTCGGGAGGTGGACGCACTGGACACGGCGTAGCTCTGTCAACAATGAGAGAAAAGACAATTACTAAACTGATGCTAAACATGTTATTCATATTCTAAAATGACATTCCCAGTCAATTGCCAATCAATTCCCAGTCAATTTATCTTAACATCGTCTTCAAAAGCACCAAACGCAACCCTCACATCCCCACACACCCTAAAGACACTTAAAAAACACACTCTTAAAACCCACCAAGAAAACCACCAACTTCACACCAATTTCGGTAAATCCCCAATCACTAATCAATCACCAATCACCACATCGCGTCACCAACCATCACTCACAACCAACGCAATCACCCAATCAACCACGCAAGCACAAACCGCCAACCGAAGTCACTAAGTCGCTTTTCAAAGTCGAATCCAAGAAGCCGAAACGCACCTTCGAGAGACACAATTAGCGACAAACACTAATAAAACACTAATTCGGGTTCGTCCTCGTCAGCGCCACCGTCAGGAGGAGGAGCACCATCGCCAACGACCCTTCGGCACTAGGTCACGACAATGACTATCGCCACAGGTGTCCGTGGCGCCTCGGGGTTGGGTGTGAGAGCGAGAGAGAAAGAGAGAGAGAGAGAGCGACAGAGAGAACCGTGTGAGTGTGTCACCGCGCGCGTGTGTGTGTGTGTGTGTATGAGTGCATTCGTGCATGCCTGTTTACGAGAGCCTGAGAGTGGAAAGGCAAGCGTCAACACGTAGGATGCGGACAGGTCAAAGGTCACGGAAGGCAGCGTAGCGTGATGGGTCCGTTGCGGAGGGCGGGAAACAGCGGCTCGGCGGCCATGGCGGAGCGAGGCAGCGACTCGACTCCGCCTCGCGTTAGTTACGTCAGCGTGAAATGCCATCTCATATTTTTTTTTTTTTTTTATCAGTATTATGCATATCTTTACCGGGAAATTGAGCAAAAGGAACAAAAAGAAAACTACAGATTGAATACACATAATATTTCGTTAAAGACAATTACTCTATGTGTAAGACATTAATTGGGTGTAAGTAGACTGGAAAGCCTTAAGTGAGTGCGAGAAAGTCTCCTCATGTCGGACACCCGAGAGATGTCACGCCAGACCACGTGACATCTCGAGCGAAATTTCCCGCGCGATCACAAATAACGTCCGCGAGATTAAAAAGTTTCCCGTAAGAGAGCGCGAGGTCAGACGTTTTTCTTTTTTTTCACTCTCTTTTTTTTTCTCTCTCTCTCTCTCTCACCCGAACGCCAGTGACCTAAATGGTAAATGTCGCTGGATTTTATCAGATTACAAAGACGTTTGGTCATCATCGTTGACCCATTAAGAAAAGGCTCCGTTTCTTTCCAAAAGAATAAATAAAAATGGAATCATTCATTCCCGTGACGTGTCCACAACGACCGCTTTGCACTGTCTCGGCGACGGCGCAAAACTACCCACCAAATTCACCAAATACTTCGCAAAATCACTCATTTTCGGATAAGCGCGATATTCACCAACGTCAGACCAATATCGGAAAATCAGTATCAATATTTAGCTTTTCCTCCTCTCTCTTCTCTCTTTTTTTAGACGATATTAGACATCTTTCGCTGGTCACGCAGACACGTCCATCACGGCGCGACACTTCCAGTACCATGATTTACCATGATCTCTCTGACAGTCACCGACACTCCTTATATGACCACAGTCTCCGCCCTAGCCAAGTCACCGGGTTCTGCAACGGATTCCAGATGACCTCGGAGTCGTATGTTGCAAATCACAAACTTTGCGCGGTTCTTTTCGATCAATAAAGTTAAGAGAATTCGTCGAAAAAAGCGCCTAGGAGACTCATACGTGTTCATCGTTGTTGAAAACTTTTTCTTTTTTTGGCATTTATCTTTTCCTGTTTATTCTATTCGCTTTCTTCTATTGTTTGTTTCTATTGTATTTTGCGCTTTCCTATCTTTGTCTCTTCCGTTATTGAGTGTTGCTTCTCATTTCCTGATTCTTTATCATTTTCTTTCTTTCTTACTTGGTTCATTAAGTGTTCCTTTTCCTCAGACTTATTTTCAGTTATTTGATCTCCCTTCTTCTTTTCTTCGTCCTTATTTGTTTTCCATATCTTTCCCTTTCTGTTTCTGTTCCTCCTCTGTCCCCTATTCCTTCCTCCATATTTTCCCTCTCCTTCTACTTCCCCTTTCCCTCTTCCTTTTCCCTCCTTCCTCCCTTTTTCCACCGTCTTCCCTTCTTTCCCATTTTCTTCTCCACTTTTGCGCTCTCTTCCCCTTCTCCACCCTCCCTTTTTTCCCTCTCCCTTCTTCCACCTCTCCCATTCCCTCCCTTTCTCCGTCTCTCCTCCATTTCCTTCCTTTCCCAATCGCGTCCTATCACGAGGAAGGAGGAACAAAAGAGAGAGAGAGAGAAAAAAGGGAAGGCAAGAAAAACGCGAGACGGAGAAGGAAGAAGAAAATAATAAAAATGGACACTCCCTTTTCAACTCTTTTCCTTTTGAAGTTCAATCAGTCGAGATATGTCTTGGCGTTCACGGAAGTTGTGTTCGGCAGGGGGGGGGTGGAAGGAGGGAAGGAGGGAAGGGGTGTGAAGGAGGGTAGGGGAAGGGGTGAATGAGGAGGGGAAGGGGCGGTGGAAGGAGGGAGGGGAAGGGGGCGTGAAGGAGGGAGGGGAAAGGTTGCTGTTTCAGGGGCGGGTGATGAGGGAGGGGAAGGGGAGCAGTGAAGCAAGGGAGGGGTGTCTAGGGGGGTGCAAGGAGGGAGGGGAAGGGGGTGAAGAGGGAGGGAAGGGGGTTGAAGGAGGAGGGGAAGGGGTGAAGCGAGCGGAGGGAAGGGGGGTGAAAGGAAGGAGGGGAAGGGGTGAGAGGTAGGGAGGGGAAGTTGTGTATCAGGAGGGGGGTGAAGGGAGGGAGGGGAAGGGGGGTGAAGAAGGGAGGGGTAGGGGGGTGAAGGAGGGAGGGGAAGGGATGTGAAGGAGTGAGGGGAGGAAGGTCGGGTGAAGGAGGTGAGGGGAAGGGCTCCGGGGTGAAGGAGGGCAGGTGGAGGGGGGTGAAGGAGGGAGGGAAGGGGTGAAGAGGGAGGGAAGGTCGGTGTGAAGGAGGGAGGGAAGGGGGGTGTAAGAGAGGGAGGGAAGGGGGGGTGAAAGAAGGGAGGCGGAAGGGGGTGAAGAAGGGGGGAAAGGGGCGTGAAGTGAGGGAGGGGAAGGGGGGTTGGAAGGGAGGGAAGGGGTGAAGGAGGGAGGGGAAGGGGGGTGAAGGAGGGAGGTGGAGGGGGGTGCAAGGAGGGAGGGGAAGGCGGGGTGAAGGAGGGAGGGAAGGGGGGTGAAGGAGGGAGGGGGAAGCGGGGCGGGGAAGGAGGGAGGGGAAGGGGTGGTGAAAGACGGGAGGGGTAGCGGGGTGAAAGGAAGGAGTGGAGCGGAGTCGATGGTGTGGTAAGACACTCCTTCTTTATCTTATTCTCTCCTCTCTTTTCCAGCCTTCTCTTATCTTACTCTCCCATTTCCAGATCTTTATCTTATTTTCCCTCTTCCGATCTCTTTATTTTTAACTCTCCCTCCTCTTTATTTTCTTACCTTTTCCAGATCTTTATCTCTGTCCGCCTCTTTATTTTACTCTCCCTTTTCCAGATCTTTTATACTTACTTCTCCCTCTCATTTCTCCCTCTTTCTTACTCTCCCTCTTTTCCCTCTTCATCTTGCTCTCTCTCTTCCCTCCTCTTTATTTACTCTCTTTCTCCCTCTTTCATTCTTGCTCTCCCTCTTCCCACTCTCTCCACGAGGTGTATGAGGTGGGGAGGGAGGATGAGGATGAACGTTAATTCTCTCTATCTCCATCCTATTCTTCACTTCCTTGTTCTCTCTTCGCTTTCATCTTCCCCTTCCATATTTCTCCTTCATCCCTTCAGCACATCTCTCTTCCCTTGTCTTTCCTTCTTCTCGTCTACATCCCATTCTCCTAACTCTCCCATCCCTTTCTTTCTTCCTCATTTTTTCCATCCTCTCTCATCTCCCCTTTCTCTCTTTCCTCCCCTCCCCCACCTCCCCTTCCTCAGCATCCCACACACCCACTCCTCCTTCCCCAACCCTCCTTTCCCTCCTCCAACACCCCACTCCTTTTCCTCTCCTCAGCATCACCCTCACTCCTCCTTCTCTTCTCTCCCCTCCCCCAGACCCCTTCCTCTCCTCAGCATCACCCTCCACTCCTCCTTCTCTTCTCCCCTCCCTCCCCAGCACCCCTTCCTCTCCTCAGCATCCTATTCCCCTTCCCCTCCTCCTCCTCCCTCTCTCCTTTCCCCTCCCCCAGCACCCCTTCCTCTCCTCAACATCCTATTCCCCTTCCCCTCCCTCCTCCTTCCCCTCCCTCCTCCTCCCTCCCCCTTTCCCCTCCCCAGCACCCCTTCCTCTCCTCAGCATCCTATTCCCCCCTTCCCCCCCTCCCCTCCCCTCCCCCTCCTCCCTCTTCCCCTCGTCATGGTCCCACTGTTCTCGAGTTTAGTTGTTTCGTCTCTTTTGTGTCCCCGACAAATGCCATTATATTATGTGAGATTTTCATTTCCTCTTTTTTTAAGGGGGAGGGAGGGAGGGAGGGAGGAGGAGGGAGGGGGAGGGAGAGGAGGGGAGGGAGGGAGGGAGGGGAGGGAAGGAGGAGGAAGGAGGAGGAGGGTAGAGAGAGAGAGAGAGAGAAAGAGAGAGAGAGAGAGAGAAAGAGAGAGAAAGAGAAGAGATAAGAAAGAGAAGAGAGAGAGAGAGAGAGAGAGAGAGAGAGAGAGAGAGAGGAGAGAAGAGAGAGAGAGAGAGAGAGAGAGAGAGAGAGAGAGAGAGAGAGAGAGAGGAGAGAAAGAAAAAGAGAAAGTGAGCGAAGCAGAATGTAAGATGTGAGAGAAGGAAGGAGAGAGTATAGGAAGGAAAGGAAAAATAAAGAGAGAGGTTGACAGATAAAAAGAAACGAAAGAGATAGAAGACAAGATGAATTATTCTTTTTTTTATCTCTCGTATAAATTTTGTTTCTCATTTTTTGTATATTCAATTAACTAGTGACTTAAAGATAGATGAAAGTGATAGAGCGAAGAGAGAAAATAATTGTATATAAGTAACAAACAAAC